TCCATCCCCTCCTCCTATGGCTATTTCTCTTCATTGCAAGCTGACAGCCTGCAGAGCCCACAAAGATAAGGTTTGATTATCTGAGTAAAGCGGCTGGGTAGATGATTTGCTGAATCGCCTATTGGAGCTCTGGTGGAGAAACAGCTGACCAGATGTGGTCGGTATTTGTCTCTCTGCAGCCAGGTCCAGGAAAGCACAGTCGTGTGGCCAAAAAAAAATGAAGTCCATCCTCTGAACAAGCCTGACAACAGGGACCTTCCTTTGCCTTGAATGTCTTTTATTCCAGCCCTGGGGAGGGAGCATCACTTATCTGTGTGCAAAACCCACCTAGTCAGTGGACTTAATGTTTCAAGCAGCATCAGCACCAAAGAGAAAATACTCCTAAATTCCTAAAATGTCCTAGTCAAATTTGAAGTCTGTCCTAGTCTTAATATTTAATTATATATTTTTTTAAATAAAGGAGAGCAAATATAAGTGTACCATTCCTTCTTAGAGATGATGCAGTCCTTTGGGAAACCATGGGCAAAATCCACAGAAATACCATAAAAAGTCCCATTTTCCTATTGCAGCTGAATGATGAAAATCCAGATCTCATGAAAATATTTGGATTGCTAAATTATTTATATGGATATGACAGCAATGTTGATTTTTAAAGTCCTTTGTAGTCAAATGTAAATACAAATTTGTCTCTATCTCATGACAAGTTGGGGTTTTTTTTCCACTCCGAGCAGTTACACTGAATATCTTAATTATCTTTAAATCAAATAATACTGTTCAGACCTTGTGAGCTGGAATTAAGCACTCATCATTCTTTACTAAATTTCAGTTAGAGGTTTTAAAAACAGCTGTCTCCAGCCCACATAATCCAGCCTTCAGTACATTTTGTAAGACTTCTACGTGCCTCCTCAAATTTAAAATTAGCAGACAGTTCTTGAAGTAAGCAAAGCCCTCATGTGAGAGAAAGATACCACTGGGCTGACAAGTCACAGAAAACAAAGAAAGCATCCATCAATACATTTGTTTCTCTCCTTTATTTTTCCTTTGTTCCATCATTCCTGAAGGATGTTTTCCTCAGCTGAAGCTCGCCTGTTCTCTCACTTTTACAAGCCAGCTCTGGCTGCTGCTTGCTCTACTGAACTGCAGCTCCAGGACATGTTCCCAGACCATCCCAGTCAGACAAGGGCCAAGGCATTCCCGTACAGTATGAGGAAAGTCACTGCAGCTACGTGAGGGATGTCCTCATCTCCAAAAGTGGAGGTGTGCAGATAATGCCTAGTGGATATGTGACGCCACCACCACTCAGGCACTACTGCTTTAGGCTGATGTACAATAGAAATGTTTCATGTTTGTTTCTGGCAAAACAAGACTAAAATAAATAAACCTCCAGTTCATTTATTTTTGTGTTTACACTAGAAGCCTATCTTTTTTTTTTTAAGGAGGATGTTTAACTCCTTTTAAAAGTACAGGCAAATAATAAACTGAAATATGATTTTGAAATAAAATGTCAAAACACTTCACATCTTGTTTCCTTTTATTTCTCTTCTGATGAAAATATTTGCTGAACTTGACCCAAACAGTTTGTTTCCCCAGAACTGCAAGAGCTCATTATATCTTCCTTTTTAAATTCTTTTTATTGCCAGGCTCTATTAATGAATTTGGTCTAAGAAAAATTATAAGAACACATTAAATTTTAACTTCAACAACTAATCCCAGCACCCTGCTCCATTGCTCAGAAGACAGTCGTTCTGTGAATGAAGGAAAATCACATTGGCCTCTCCAGTAGAGTGCTGAACACAACCCGTCACTTGGCACAAGAAGTAGATTGGATAGAGATTGATTAATGAAGATAACTAATTAGGAGCCTGGCCTGAGTCAGCCAAGGCATTTCACATAGATCAGCAAAGAAGCAAAGAGTTGAATTCAATAAAAAATAGGGCTGAGGGAACACATTTCTGTATGTCATTATCTCTAGGTACTGGCTAAAACCTTTTGCATGATGTTATAAAGTCCCATTCTTGTGTCAAATAATAACCTCTTAAGATGATTACCTTCTTGATAGACATCAAAAGTTAAAAACAGGCACATGACTACAGATACTTTAATGCTACGCAGACAAATGCTAAATGTGTGCTAATAAGAACAAAGATCAGCTAAGTTCTTCAATGAACTATTCTAAGAAATTGTTCACAGAAGATTAGCAGGGACTCAGGACACCTCAAGACTGCAGAGGTGGCTTTTCCAACAGTTCTTGTATGGGCAGACCATGCCATTTCTCTAAGCCTTCTTTCATCATGGATAAAATAGAGGCAATAATACTTCCTTTGTATGCCTCATCTTTAGACTCTTTGGAACAAGCATTGTGTCATTTCAGATACAAATAGTGTCTGGTACAACTAAATCATAGTTTGGTTCAGGACCCTGGTGCTCCAGCAGCAGCAATTAATCACTTAGATAAAAATAGTTTGTTTCAGTTTTAAAATGTCAGAAATGCTTTCCAGGACAGAACACCCTACAGCTGTAGGAAAGGTGTTTTATTTATTTATTGAAGAACTTCTTTCCTCCACTAAATCATTCTCACCCTCAGAGGCTGCGAATATTCTGCCTCTAGGTCACTGACCATAATGATGCTGTCAGGCTGGTGAAATAGAAACAGGGAGATGACAGAGTTTCACTTGGACCTCCCATTTCTCATTGCACAGTCATAATAATTACATTCCACCTCTCCTCTGGGTCATTTACCAGTACTTGCTAAAAAGGCTGAAGCCTCCCTGCACTGTAATGGTTATGCTGCAGCTCTGCAGCACTGCGCTTGTGATGCTGAGCTGGCATGAGTCTGTCCCAGATGATTCTGTGATTCTTCCTGCCTGCCCATTTCTTAGATTTTGTCTTATGAAACCAAACCTTCACTAGCAAGCAGCTGAACAGGTTAAATCTTTCAGCATAAAACAGTGTCACCATTGAGAAAGTTAGTATTTTGGGAGGTGGTTACCAGATATCTGCCATGAGCCAGAATCACTGAGCTGCTGATGGCCTGGTGGCTATTCAGACATGAGCCAACAGGGCTCAACTGGACCTTAAATAAATCAAATAACCATAAACCCAAAACATGGCATCACTGTTGTATAAGTTGTTTTCTTCTGTCAGCCTGACCCAAGCAACAATGCTCAACTGAGAATGAGGTTTCTGTTTCCCAGGGAGCTGATAAACTCTCATTGCTGTTGCCCCTGTGCTCTGTGGCTTGATTGCATTTTCCCTTCCATGCTCAGGTGGGTGCCTGTGCCTTCCAGAGCTGTGAAACTCAGCAGCTTTCAAACACCAAACCTCACTTTAAAAATAACCAGCCTCATTATACCACTAGCAGTTTTGATCCTGTCAGAACAATAGCTACCACATTTCTCCAGTACAGCCCAAATGCACCTCACTGGCCCCTCGCTAGAAGATGAGCAGTTTGTATCTCACCTCTTCCTGGATGTAAAGATCCCCGACTTAGGATGTGCAAGGGATGCCACCTCTCTGCTCCCCTCCACCCCATTCACACGGAATTACAGAATCACACAGAATCATCCAGGTTGGAAAAGGCCTTGAAGATCATCCAGTACAACCATTGACCTCACACTGACAGTTCCCAACTACTCCATATCCCTCAGTGCTCTGTCGACCTGACTCTTAAACCCCTCCAGGGTTGGGGACTCCACCACCTCCCTGGGCAGCCCATTCCAACTCCTAACAACCCTTTCTGTGAAGAAATGCTTCCTAATATCCAGTCTAAACCTTCCCTGGCGCAATTTGAGGCCATTACCTCTTGTCCTGTCACTTATTACTTGGTTCAAGAGACTCATCCCCAGCTCTCTGCACCCTCCTTTCAGGTAGCTGTAGAGGGCGATGAGGTCTCCCCTCAGCCTCCTCTTCTCCAGACTAAACCCCCCCAGTTCCCTCAGCCGCTCCCGTACGACCTGTGCTCCAGACCCTGCACCAGCTCCGTTGCCCTTCTCTGGACACGCTCGAGTCATTCAATGGCCTTTTTGTAGTGAGGGGCCCAAAACTGAACACAGGAATCGAGGGGCAGCCTCCCCAGTGCCGAGCACAGGGGTCAGATCCCTTCCCTGTCCCTGCTGGCCACGCTATTGCTGACACAAGCCAGGATGCCATTGGCCTTCTTGGCCCCCTGGGCACACTGCTGGCTCCTGTTCAGCCGGCTGTCAATCACCCCCAGGTCCCTCTCTGACTGGCAGCTCTCCAGCCACTCCTCCCCAAGCCTGTAGCGCTGCTGGGGGTTGTTGTGGCCCAAGGGCTGCCCCCGGCATTTGGCCTTATTGAAACTCCCCCAGTTGGCCTCAGCCCATGGCTCCAGCCTGTCCAGGTCTCTCTGCAGAGCCTCCCTACCCTCGAGCAGATCAACACTCCCACCCAACTTGGGGTCATCTGCAAACTGACTGAGGGTGCACTCGATCCCCTCGTCCAGATCATCAATAAAGATGTTAAACAGGAGTGGCCCCAAGACCGAGCCCTGGGGGACACCACTCGTGACCGGCCGCCAACCAGATTTAACTCCCTTCACCACAACTCTTTGGGCCCGACCATCAGCCAGTTTTTTACCCTGTGAAGCGTGTGCCCATCCAAGCCACGAGCAGCCAGTTTCACCAGGAGAATGCTGTGGGAAACAATGTCAAAGGCCTTACTAAAGTCAAGGTAAACATCCACAGCCTTTCCCTCATCCAATAAGCAGGTTGCCTTGTCGTAGAAGGAGATCAGGTTTCTCCATCCATGGAGACCTGCTGGGATGCTGGCACCCCCAGCTCTCTCCCCCACAGCTCTGGGTGCTGAGCAGTATTGTGGATCTTAAGCATAAAGATGATGCTAGCTAATGCCCCTCCTGACCCCACTGGAGGGACTGAAGACCCCCCCTCACCTTGATTGCTGAACTTGACTATTGCAAAAGATCAGCATATGGTGCAATAGTTTAAAGATAAGCCTGCTTTGCTTTTGGTTTAGAGCTACTGAGGCAATGTCTGGAGAAGCCGCCTTGGATCTCATGTCAGGGTGAACCAGGGTCTGAAGAAGGCATGACCAGGAAGGTCCCCAAGCATGTGGGCTGAAGGGTACTTTTTCCTCATTCTAACAAGTCCAGTAGAGGCATTAGAGATATGACAGAGATTATCAGATACTGCTTGCCACCTCTCTGCTGATACAGGGCTATATCATTTGTCATTACTTTATCCAGCTTGATTTTGGTCATCCAAAGGGTGTTTCTACACTGGTTCCCTCAAGAGACTACTTCATGTGCTAATAGATGTCATCACTGACTGGCTTTGCTGACAGTCATCTTAATTACGCTTGTCCTATCTCCCAGATTGGAATTGCTCTTTTTCCAGCCTCCTTATGCGTCTATCTTTCAGCTGCTTGATCTGAATGATGTTTATTAATTTCCCTATTCTCCACTGCACAATGTCCTGCTCAACTTTAGCAAAAGGTCTTGGACTTTGGATATTATGAACATAAATGTGACAAGGACTGGTGATGAAAAACATGGGATCCACATAGCAACCAAGATGATGGAGTCAGTCCAGAGATGTTGACTTTGTCCACCACAGATCTGCACCTTGCTAATGTTATAATAGTTCATGTTTCCAAAAGAGAAACAGACACTTGGGCACTGAGGGCAGAAACTGAGCTAACTTTAAAATCAGTGAAGGAGCTATTTGTTTTCAGTGATCTAAATCCATTTGCTAATTATAAACACCAGGATAAACAAGTAAGGCCATTCAATGCTGTGCTGCAGAAGATGGGTACTTTGCCCTTTTTCTCACATTAACTCTGTCTTTCCATTTCTCACTAATGTTAAGTTTGACACTACATTATGTGCTCTAATTACCTGCAGATTTTGGCCTACAGTTCATTTTTGCACCGTAATTAATGCAACATTTGTAAGAGGTCTGAATCTGATAATTAGGAGAGTACTTGGAAGTGCTCACTTAGGTTAGAAATACACAACATCATGTTAAGAGAGGTTTATAACTACCTGCAGATGGGATAGCTCATAATAGGCTTCTGGTTTTTAAGTAAGGTGTTTCAATCACTAAGTAAAAGCCGGATCAATTAAGAATATTCAAATGGAAGATAATGAATGTTTTTTTTTAATAAATGTAGATCTTGGAACTGGCATAATTAGATCTTTCATCTGGTAGGAAAACAACACAAGCCATTTATCAAAGCTGTGGAATGAAATAGTGGCAAAATACCTTGGAGCTGTTTCCTTGTGCAATGGAGACACCAGTTCCCAAACATATTTCAGACCAGCAGCCATGAGCCGCAAGACTAACTTTTGTTTGTCAGGCTTCGAACATGTGTCAGAGTGTTTGAACTGCAGCTATCTGGGAAGTGGGTGGCTTTTCTGTAGTGAAATATCCAGTGAAAAATGACAACTGCAGTTTGTTGAAATCTTCTGGCAAAAAATTCTTCATCATTTCATGTGTCTACTTTGTGTGTGCACTTGCAGAACTTTTTATGTCAAAACAAGACTTTCTATAAAGAATTATGTGTTTTGTAACAAAAGTCTAGCATATGCACATTGTTAATGTCAGTCACTAGTTTAAGTTCCTTTCTGAACAGCAAACTATCACAAACTCCCTCATAGCATCTGGGGCTCATGCACGTTCCCTCCTACTCTACAGCCTGCTGGTAGATTTTCTGGTCACCAGGGTACATATCATCCTTTCTGACTTTTATAGGGCTGGCTCGCACACATGCCCGTGCAATGTCTGTGGTTTTGTTTCCTGGTAATTTCTGGATATCCTAAAAGTGGTGTTGTGAAATTGTACATATCTTAAGGCACCTAATGGTAAGACCTGAAAATTATATTTTCTGGTAATGGACAATGACACAAAAATTAAATAACAAAAACCAGTATTAAGATCAAAATGAGCGATAAAGATCCTTGTTGGTGCTTTTCACATCTCAGCTAGTTATCTACTTTGTTTTAGGTTAAGTTGTAGTAAGTCTTACTAGTTTAAGGTAAGTTTTCTTTGGCTACAGTAGCTGTTGCCTTTTCTCAGCTATCCATCCTGCTCCAAGAAAGGACAGGGCTGATAGCAAACACCATGTTTCACCATGTTGTGTTGAATGGGAGTTGCCACTCCTCTTTCCTTCTTCCTCAATGTTTTTCAATTAATATTTCTATGATATGCATTAACTAGCACATTTCTGACTTTAGACTGCTTCTCTCTTACAGCCCACTGGGTATGAATTCGTTAAACTTTACACAACGTATCATGAAAAATATTAACATGGCAAACTTTTGAGCTGTGCTCAAAACTAGTCTTATTTTGTAAGCATTTTATTAGGATTAAATGTCATACCACAGATGGTGACATTGGAATTGGATGCTAATTTGAGTAAAATCTCCATATTCTCCTCCATACAGCCTTGGTTTGATAAATGGACACTGCAATTTCTTTCAGTGCACTGAGGGCAGCAGCAGACCCTCTGTGCTCCACTACTACTCTGTCCTCCTCTATCTGCCCACTTGCAAACACTAATTCCCTGCATTGCCTTCATAGGCAGTTGCTCCTCATTTTTAGTGTAGTTAAAACCAATCCCAAAATAAGCCAGTAAGTACATATTGCTTGGTGGATGTGTTTTCATTCCCCTGTTGTTCTTCAGGAAGGATGATGCTTCGTTTGCTCATCTGCCTTCCCTGCCAAGAGCTATTTCACAGCTAGGTTAGATAGTCTTCAGGAGTATGCTGGGGAGGACAGGAGGTGCCTTTGACAGCTTCTTCATTTCAATATGATTCAGAGGTTGCTAAGTCCCCATTTTCTGTTAGCTATATCCCCAAACATCCTGTGATGATAGCCTGTTATCTGACTTCAGCCTTTCCATTCTCAACAGGATTAGTTCCTGGACATCTGCTAGTGAGGATCTTGTACAAGTGATGACAGCTACTGCTCCCCTCCAGGCTCAGGGACCCTCTGGCCTTCTGTGTGAAAGAAAGACCTAAGGAAAAAATTTTCTCATCTGATTACCATAGAAAGCAGAACCTCATCTCTTCTGAAGATGTCCAAATGAGAAATGTCAAGCTCAGTCTGAACATTTGAATACACCATGTCCAAGGACGCTTCTCCAAGTGTCAGGAAAGGAAAAAATCTAAAGACAAAAGGGCATAGCTGCAACATTTCTAATTTTTAGGAGGGTGAGGGGAACCCAAGGAACTAAGGAGCAGAATCAAAGCAGATATTTCTTCTCTGGTGAGTTTAATAAAGTAAAATAGCCTTAGACAATCCCTTTTGAGATCTTCTGATACACAAATGCCTTGTAGATTAGAACATGACACTTTAGAGCTGCATTCATCGATGCATTGATTTTGATCATAGGAGGAGGTAACTAGTGCAATCAAAATACCTGGTAATTGGCTGGGAGAAATGCACACAATAATTGCTGATAAAGTCATATTCCTTCCTCTGCTGACACAATTAAGTTTTCAGTTTCCTTGCAGAAACACAAGGTAGGAAAATTAAGGTTCAGGTGAAATTAGACATTATACTGGATGTAAAGTGAAATGCTGGCAGAAACCAATTCAAAAATATTTTATGAATATTGAGTCCTTGGACTGACTTAGCCAGGTTTCAATCCTTTAAGCATATGTGAAGCTCTGGAGTTTGTTGGAACGGGTCTTTGGAATATATATTTTCACTGGCATTCAAGTCACATATCATAGTTACACCTGAAAATGACAGAGAACAACCACAACAGTATGTGGTATCTAAATTTGAATGCTAACTGTCAAGACAGATCATAAATACACTTGTCATTTGTGCTGTGTCAGTAATCATTTTATGTTTTAAATATCATACAGATTCAGGATCAAGAGACTGATTTGATTCAGACGGGAGAGATAAGCCCCAAATCACCAAATCTTGTGGCACATTTTGTTCTGCAAGACTGGATTTTTCAAAGTCTCATCAGTCGTTCAGAAAGCACAAGAACCCGAGCACAGGTGCCTGGGAAGAAGCGTGGATGTCCCAGCAAGCCTCAGGTGCAAAATCTCTCTTCGATCCACAAGTGAAACTTCTGTCTACATGAAAATTGCTATTAGCTTACTTAAGGAATTTCTTTATAACCTATCCAGCACAAGAAATATCAGTAACTTATTTAAACAAAGAATGTTTAAAATGTAAAACCGAAAAGAGACATAAAGTAAGCAAAACCCCATCTGTGTTTTCCCTCAGTTTATGCTTCTTTAGGTCCTTCAGTCTGAGCCAGCGAGGTTGTATTGGTCAGGTTTGCTTTACAGGGTGGGATCTGGACCATGTCCTCACAGCATTTTCCCTGAGGACATCTGCTTACCTGGCTGAGCTCTGCCCCATCTTTGTTAACTAATGGCATCTCAAAGGCTGTTGCTGTCCGAGGGATTCCCAGACTGAAGGAGGATGTTTAAAGAGAAAATGCTGCTTTGACAGTCAAACAGAGCTATGAAAATGTGCTGGCAACATTCAGATAGCATTTTAACTTTTTTAAGAGGTTTTTTTTTTTTGTGCTGTTTGCCACCATAGTGGGATTATCTGCACATGCTGCCTTGGAGGTTGATTCCTTCAGGCAGAGCCATTTTTCCTGAGCCAGGCTAACCACAGAGGTGATTTCTTTCCTCCCTCACATAATGAATCTCAGTGGTGGCCCCAGCCCTTCGACCTATGGACCTGATGTCCACAGCACCGTGGTACAGTAATTCAGATGCACCACTGAACACACCAGCTTTTCTAAGCCTTGGCATAAACTGTTGGAACATCACCCTGTCTGGGTCTCTTCGTGTTTGTACTTGTGTGTGTAAATACTTTATTTGCCTATATCTGCTGTTAACACTAGGCTACTTTTGCTACTTTGTGATTTCTTTTAGTCCTTCTGCAGATATGAGTATCTTTTAGGTCTCACAAAACTGTCAGACCCTACCCATCCACTGCTTTATATATTGCCTTCAAATGTAAAGTACAGAAGCAAACAAGTTAAAACTCCTGAAGGTTGTGATATCCTTTTCCTTGGTTGCTCCTGGGCATTTGTATTTTCTGCTTCAGAGCAGACAACATAGTCTAGAAAACTCTGCCTTGGC